TTTGCGCCTTTCCTGGAACTCACTTGGTAGCCCAGGCTGGCCTCGAACTCACAGAGATCCGCCTGGCTCTGCCTCCCGAGTGCTGGGATTAAAGGCGTGTCCAGTCTGTATTTGAAGATTGTGTGAAAACATTAGTATATGCGGACAGGTCAGGGAAATGTCACGAGTGTTGTTGTAACCCAGAGGGTAAAGTTCAAGTTTTCACTACAACACCACCTCTGAGTTCGTTAGCTAAGTGTTGTATGGAGACAGTGTTTAAAGACGCCTCAACAACACCTGCAGTAAAATTTGTACCAGGTCTTAAATTCGTAAGGAAAATGGCTCTGCTTGGATTTTCTAGACTTCCTGTTTACAATAAGTGTATTTTTATTACCCAACAGTGCAAGTCAGATTGGTGCATAGTAAATACTGGCTCCGTTGTGGACCTTCCCCTAAGTTTAGACATGCCTTTCTTGGAAATGTAGTTCGATTCTAGCGACCCGAATGAGCACACAATGATGGTGATTTTTATGTTACCCTTTTAAAGTCTCGGGCACCTCTGCAGGCTAAGGGAGACGAGAAAGCGCCCTTAGGAGTAGTTGCCAGCCAGTGTAGGCATCTGGCTTTTACATCTCACAGCCTCGGCGGCTCGTCGCCTAGGCATCCCTCCCGTGGATTGGCTTGGCTGGGTTGACAGTCGTACGGAAGCAAAGCAAATCTACAGAGTTTGCTGTGACCCCCAACAGTGAAAGATGCAAACTGAACTAAGGAGGAACTGCTTCTTTGCCACACTGTTACCCGAAAGATCTGTAACTAAACGCAGGCAGGAACCCCCAGATCAGCCCAGCCAAATGTGTGAAAACACGTTGCGGCCTCTCGTACTTTACAGCCGTGTGCACACACGACTGTAGAGCCCCACGCAGCAAAAAGCGAGTAAACAGGGAGCCAAGATGGCGCCTGGCGTCCTTGAAAAAGCCTCTTGGTCGTGTCCCTCCCCGAGGAGGCCCCTCCCTCCCCGGCTAGTTGAGTGACGGGGAGCCGGCGCCAATGGCGTCCCCGGCCTGCTGCACCCCTCGGGCGCGACCGCCAATCAGCGCGAGCCGGAGGGCAGGCGGGGCGGGGCCCCCCCACCCCGTGTGCGCGCGCCGGCGGGTACACGGGCGCCGCCGCCGCCTTTGCGCGCGCCTGCGGCACACGGGTGCAGCGGGCTTGGGGGCCGGTGTTGGGGCCCGGGGAGGGCTCGGCCACCCTGGAGGTCCGCTCGTGAGGCCCCGGGACCCACTCTGCTCGGTGACACCCCCCCTCCCCGGGCCTGGCGCTGAGCTGACTGTAGATGGGGCACCCCGCCTCCCTGGGGATTCGATGCCGTCCCTCCGCGCCCATCTGGGTCACCTTTGACTAATCATCAACATTAGCTGAAGGCGCTGTGTGCACGAGAGGAAAGCCCTGGGAGTTAGTGTCACGTTGTCCCGTTTCTCCACAAATACAGCAAAGCCCCCTCTATCCGGTCTATTCTAGGAAAACAGGAATCTTAATCTTACCAAGCTGCACGTTAGCATGTTCATTTTTCTTTTAAGACTGCCATCTTGATTTGACAAATGGAGCATAGTGGTGTACACTTGTAATTCTAGCTCTCCCAGAGGCTAAGGCAGGAGGATTGCTCCGAGTTTGAGGCTGGCTTGGTCTGCATAGTTCCAGGCCAGTGAAAGCTGGGGAAGTTGGCTCAGCGGCTGTGTAGGAAGGACCCTGCTTCAGTTCCCAGCACCCACACGGGGCTTGCTCATAGCCATCTGTAACTCCAGTCCCACGGGAATCCATGCCCACTTCTGACCTCCTTGGGCACCAGGCCTGCCTGCGGGGCACTTACATGCATATAGGCAAACACTCATACACATAAATAAATCCAAAAATGTTTAAAGAATCACATGCTGAATTCTGTCACAAAAGGGTGGAGGGGAAAGGCATCCCCTCCCACGTCCTCCCCACCCCCCACGGGGGAAAGAGAGGGAGAGTACAATTTTCAGATTGCTTTTGTTTAAGAGCCCAGCCTCTGCCTGGCCTTTCTGTTTTGTGCCTGATGATGACATCTTAGAGGTTTTGTTAATTATTAGACAGGTCATTCTTTTTTTTGTTGTTGTTGCTTGTTTTTAAAGACAAGGTTTCTTTGTGTATCCCCTGGCTATCCTGAAATCACCTCTGTAGACCAGGCTGGCTCTCTGCCTCCAGAGTGCAGGGGTTAAAGGTTTGTGCCATCACTACCCGGCCTAGACTGGTCACTCGACAAATAGAGGGAAAGTGTATTTTATGGCAACGGCTCACGCGCTGTCGTGTGATAACTCATTTCCGATAGGAATGAGTTTTAAGAAGACCATTTTGTACCTAAAATGGAGGCAGCAGAGCTGACTAGCTGAGAAGGAGCCTTAAGTGACTAGTTCCTTTTTATTTCCAAAAATGAAGACTATGATAGCCATTGCCTATCACATTTGAGAAAGCCCATTTCTATCCCGACCCCGAATGAGTCAAAGGCTCATTGTAAGGACATATATCTAGAGAATACCAGATCACACCCATCTATTAAATAGTGAGAAACTTTTATTTTTCATAGTTTGAAGGTAAACTCAACCATGCAGAAAATTCAAACTCAGAACTAGGAGAAAAGCAGCAAAGAAAAACTACCAAGAATATGATATATTTAGTCTGAACAAAACACATGTGACTTGGGAGGAAAGAGGTAGTTCAGATATGGATGGCCTCTCCCTGAACTGTTCTGTTTAAAGGTGAAGTTTTCTTTTCTTTCTTTTTTTTTTCCCATGGTTTTTTTTTTTTTTTTTTTTTGGCTTTGATGTTGGTGGTGTGTGTGTGGTGGTGGGGGTTATTGTGGTTATTGTTTTTTCGACACAGGATTGCTCTGTGTAGTCCTGGCTGTCCTGGAACTCTCTCTGTAGACCAAGCTGGCCTCGAACTCACACAGATCTACTTGCCTCTGCCTCCTGAGTGGTTAGATTAAAAGTGTGATATGTGTGTATATTTTTCTGTCTGGACTTCACCCCTTCCTGTGTGGTGGAGTATGACTTTGAACTTCTGATCCTCTTGCTTCCACCCCCAGGTTCTGGGATAACTGGGGGGACAATACCACGAGACCTAGTCTTATGTAGTTCTGGCGACTGAACCCAAGGATGAGAGACACTCTACCAAGCCTCGTGGCCAGCCCCACCCACCGTGTTTTTTTGAATTGGAGTTTTGCCTCAAACTGGCTATACTCAGGCTGTTCTCAGAATAATAGTGGTTCCTTTGCCTCTAACTCAAGAGTGCAAGAATTACAGGCATGAGTAGCTGAAAAGTACAGTTTCTAAATTAATTTCACGTGTATTAAAATTAGACTACCAGACTTGTAATCTCAATAGTGGAGAAGTGGAGGAAGGAGGATCAGGCATTCAGTCAGTCCTTGGTTACACAGCAAGTTCAAAGCCAGCCTGGGCTGCAGAACAGCTTGTCTCATAAAAGAACAAAGCAAATAAAATCAGACAGTCCCGAAATGACTCCTAACTATGTTTTAGTAAGCCTCACTTCGACAGTTGTCATTTGTGTTGTTGACTCATTGGCTTGTGGGGTTTTTGGTTGGTTGGTTGGTTGTAAGATTTATTATTCTGGCTGAGCTTGGTGACCCACACCTTTAATTCCAGCACTCGGGACAAAGAGGCAGGTGGGTCTCTATGAGTTCAAGACCAGCATGGTCTACATATTGAGTACCAGGACAGTCAGGGCTACATAGAGAGACCTTGTCTCCAAAAAAGAAAAGGCTTTTGGCCAGGTGGTGGTGGTACATGCCTTTCTGAGTTTGAGGCCAGCCTGGTCTCCAATGCAAGTTTCAGGGCAGCCAGGGCTACATAGAGAAACTGTCTCGAAAAACAAAACGAGAGAGAAAGCTTTTATTTTTAATGTGTGTGGTGCTTGCAAGAGTTTATATGCACCGTGTGTGTGTGTGTGTGTGTGTGTGTGTGTGTGTGTGTGTGTGTGTGACTGACTGTGTGCAGGAGTCAGGGGAGGTGAGAAGATGGCATTAGATCCACTGGAGCTAGAGTTAGGGATGGCCATGAGCCACCATGGATGCTGGGAACTGAACCGTGATCCTCTGCAAGAGCGATGATGAGTGCTCTTAACCACTGAACTCTCTCTCCAGCCCAAAGATATTTTTGGTTTGGTTTGGTTTTTCTTTTGGTAACCAAGGATGACCTTGAATTCTGGTCCTCCTGTCTGCATCTCGGGCACGGTGGCCCACACTTATAATCACAGTACTCAGGAAGTTGAGACAAAGGCATTGCTGCAAGCTGGAGGCCAGTTTGGCCTACATAGTGAGTTCAAGGCCAGTTTGGGGCAGAGAGTAAAACTCAATAAAACAAAAACCAGCTAGGTGTGCCTGTAATAACAGCATTGGAGGGACGGAGGCAGGAAGATAAAGGGTTCAAGGCCACCCTCAGCCACACAGTGGATTCAAGGACACCTGGGTTACTTGAGCCCCCGTCTCAGAAGCAAAAAGACGGGAGAGATGACCCAGCTGGTGGGTGTTCAGTCCTCTTCCAAAAGCTCATTTCCCAGCAACCACGTCCATCCTGCAGCTGCGCTGCCAGGAACTCCAGCTTCAGGGCTCCAAGAGTGTCCACACCCCCCATCCCCACCACCACACACACCACCTAAAAATAAGTCTTTAGCTGGGCGGTGGTGGCTTATGCTTTTAATCCCAGCACTTGGGAGGCAGAGTTGGATCTCTGAGTTCAAGGCCAGCCTGGGCTACAGAGTGAGTTTGAGGACAGCCAGGGATACACAGAAAATCCCTGTCTCAAAAAAAGCAGAAAAACAACAACAACAAAATTTGAATAAATATAAATGAATAAATACTAAAAAACAAAAAAGCTGGCCATAGTGGTTCATGCTTGTAATCCCAGACTTCCAGGGGCTGAAGCAGGAGGATTGCTGCAAGTTCAAGGCCAGACTGGGCTACAAAGACAGACCTTGTCTCAAAAGAAGGGAAGGGGTAGAGGGAGAAAGAGAAAGAGAAGAAATTTGATGTTAAGGTTGGGGCAAATACCTTCCACTTCCATTTCAAGTGTTTATGTTTTATTCAGATTAGAAATTCATTTTGGAAGTAAACATGAATGGACTAGAGGGTAAGCTGTGTGTCACAACAGGCCACACTACAGCTTCCATGACAAGATTTTTTTTTTTTATTCTGTTATTTTTTTTTCACTTAAATTTGGTTTTGATTTGGGGGGGGGGTTGCAAGGGCAGAGGGTGGGTGCAAGGAGATGGGGAGATAAGTGGGATCCCAATGTATGATGTGAAATCCACAAAGAATCACTAAAATTAAAATAAAAAAAATTCCTGTTGGGCATGGTGACAAGATGCCTTTGATCCCAGTATTCGGGAGGTAGAGGCAGGTGGATCTCCACGAGTTCAAGGGCAGCCTGGTCTATATAGCTAGTTCCAGGCCAGCCAAGGATATGTATATATGTATGTGTATATATCAGACGAGATCGGGCGCGTTCAGGGTGGTATGGCCGTAGACTATGTATGTGTATATATAGTGAGACTCTGTCTCAAGAACAACCCCCAAACAAGCGAATTAGAGTCAGGGTTGATGTCTGTGGTAGGAGTACAGAACTGAGCAGTAGTAATTATAATATTATCAGGCTGCTATTTGTGGAGCACTGGCTATAGATCTCTATAGGTATTTTTTGATGTGGACAATCTTTTTAAAACTTTTAAAGTTATTTATTTATGTGTACCTGTGTGTTGTTGGAAGCCAGAAGAGGATATCAGAACCCCTGGAGCTGAAGTTGCAGTTAGTTGTGAACCACTTGATGTGGGTGCTGGGATGTGAACTCAGGTCCTCTGGAAGAGCAGCCAGTGCTCTTAATCTCTGAGCCACCTCTCCAGCCCCTGTTATAGATAATCTTTATGCAAATAAAGAGGCAGAGATGAGTGTGGTCGGAAGGTTTCTCTGTTCCTAGCCGGCCCCTCAGTCCCACAGCTGCTTATAAGATAATTACTCAGAGGTTTATATTAATTACCAACTGCTTGGCCTATGGCAAGCTTCTTGCTAGCTAGCTCTTATATCTTAAATTAACCCATTTCTGTTAATCTATGTTTTGCCACGTGTTCCGTGGCTTTACCAGTCTGCTGGCATGTTGTTCCTTGGGCAGCCGGCTGGCGTCTCTCTCCTCTCTTCTTCCTGTCTCTCTCTTCAGTTTCCCGCCTAGCTATAACCTGAGTTGCCATAGGCGAAAAGGCTTTATTTATCTACCAATCAAAGCAACACATATTCACAGCATGCAGAAAGACATCCCACAGCAGATGAGAAAACTGGGATTCAGAAAAATGAGGTTAAGCTGGGCTTGGTGGTGCACACTTATAGTCTCACCATTGGGGAGGCTGAGGCATTGGTAAGGTCAGCCTTGAACACGGAACAAGTCTGAGATTAGCCTGGGAGTGCATTGTGAGAATCTCTCTTTAAAAAGCCCAACCAATCAACCCCTCACCAGTCAGCTGTGCTGGTTTATGCCCATAGCCCTAGCACTGAGGAGCCTGAGGCGGGGAAGCTGCTATAATTGCTATATATTGTGCAGTGTTACATGGCAAGTACCCAGCCAGCCAGCCAGGGCTACATGGTAAGACCAAAAATTTGTCTGAAAACAACAAAAACCCTCTAACTTTCCTTCACGATCCATGTTTAAGATTCAAGTCGTTGTGTCACGGTGGCTTAAAAAAAAAAAAAAACAAAACAAATCGAGGGGCTGAAGAGATAGCTGTGGTTAAAAGCACTTGCTGTGTGCAGCCGTGAGGACTTGGGTTCCGATCCCAGCGCCCTCATGACGAGCCAGGCTGGCCCTATGAACCTGTAACTCTAGCACTGTGGAGCGCAGAGGCAGGAGGATCGATGTTACTTGCTGGCTGGTAGCCTTGCTGGAAAAAAATGAGAGTGCTAGTTTCAGGGAGAGACCCTGCCTCAAAAAAAAAAAAAGATGGAGGGTGATAGAGGAGGACACCGAGTGCTCTCCTCTGGTCCCTGCAGGAACACTCACATGCATACCACACTCAGGAGCACACACCCAGGTCTTCAGGTGCATAGTAGGCCCTTATTCAGGAAGGAAAAGAATACGCTATGTAAATGATCCATCCACAAGTTGATGTAGATTTGCCTAGTGGTTCCCTTTAACCTTTAGTTTCGAGTTTAGCTATGCTTTCCAGTGACTGATGACAGGAAAGCTGTAAGTGGATTTGAGTTAAGCTCTTTTTTTCCTGCGGGGGTGGGGGTGGTGCACACCTTTAATCTCAGCACTCGGGAGGCAGTGTCAGGCCAATCTCTGTGATTTAGAGGAGTGAGATCTAGGACAGGCACCAAAACTACACAGAGAAATCCTGTCTTCAAAAAAACAAAAAAAGATTTTTTTCTACCTTAGATTATTGCTTATGGTTTTTTTTTTGTTTGTTTTTTTTCTGAGCTGATAAGCAATGTCTCCAAACCCTTGAGTTAAGTTTTTAGAGTGAATAGGTAGCCTAGGAAAGCGATTTTTTTTTATATAAAGGGAGAAAGAGCAAATTAGAGGCTTTTGACATTTTTGTTTGAACAGTGTCTCCTTGCATAACCTGGATGTTGGGGAACCCACTATGCAGTCTAGGCTCTTCATGGTTGAGCCAACTCTCCAGCACCTTCTTCAGGAGTCTTATTCTGAATGCATCTGTATAAAAATTATAGACTATAATAATAAATAATTATGGTAACAAAAATGTGGTATCAGGCTGGGCGGTGGTGGCGCATGCCTTTAATCCCAGCACTCGGGAGGCAGAGGCAGGCGGATCTCTGTGAGTTCGAGGCCAGCCTGGTCTACCAAGTGAGTTCCAGGAAAGGCACAAAGCTACACAAAGAAACCCTGTCTCGGAAAAAAAAAAAAATGTGGTATCAGCTTAAACATATATTACACTGAAAATAGCAATCACCAGGTTCTGTTTTCTTCTGTGCCCATCACAAAGGCACAGAACTTCTCTGCACTTCTCTGGACCTGGCTAGTACTTGTTTCCTAGCATTGTGTAGCTGTGACAACCTATACGAAGTGTCCTGGACTCCTTAAAGGATGGTGTCAGAGCAGCAAGGTGCAATACTATTATTAACGACAGGAATCGGAGAGCAAAACAGGAACTAGATCTTCATCTTCTTCCTTAGCCTTGTCATCTTTCCAGGTGTCCCTTTTCCGTTCCCTGGGTTGCAGTGGGGGTTTGGGAGTGTCCTTGCTTGGGTGCAAGAAGAATGCTTTGAATCCTCTGAAATTGTACTCATCAGGCGAACCTTTGTTTTGCTTTACTCTTTCAGTGAAGGCCGTGTGGCACCAGTGTGCCGTGTGGTTAGGGAGCGCAGGACTCGTCAACAGAAGGCTGAGGACAAGCAACCATGGACTGTGTGTGTTTTCACCTGCCAGCCTCCGCAGATCCCGCAGCCTGGAGCCCCAGCACTTCTGACCACCTTCCATGAGAAAGGAAAGTGAATCTCGAGGCTAGTGCTTCCCTGGCCAAAGCCAGTTCCCTGGAACACTCGTGGAGCCGTCCGGCAGTGTGCGCCCGGTTCTCTGGAACAATTGTGATTGTGCACCCGGTTCTCTGGAACAATTGTGATTGTGCACCCGGTCCTCTGGAACAATTGTGATTGTGCACCCGGTCCTCTGGAACAATTGTGATTGTGCACCCGGTTCTCTGGAACAATTGTGATTGTGCACCCGGTCCTCTGGAACAATTGTGATTGTGCACCCAGTTCTCTGGAACAATTGTGATTGTGCGCCCGGTTCTCTGGAACAATTGTGATTGTGCACCCGGTCCTCTGGAACACTCGTGAAGCCGTCCGGCAGCGTGCACCCGGTTATCTGGAACACGTGTGAAGCCGTCCGGCAGTGTGCATCCGGTTCTCTGGAACAATTGTGATTGTGCACCCGGTCCTCTGGAACAATTGTGATTGTGCACCCGTTTCTCTGGAACAATTGTGATTGTGCACCCAGTCCTCTGGAACACTCGTGGAGCCGTCCGGCAGTGTGCGCCCGGTTCTCTGGAACAATTGTGATTGTGCACCCGGTCCTCTGAACACTCGTGAAGCCATCCGGCAGTGTGCACCCGGTCATCTGGAGCACGTGTGAAGCTGTCCAGCAGTGAGCACCCGGTCATCTGGAACACTCGTGAAGCCGTCCGGCGGTGTGCACCATCATCTGGAACACTCGTGGAGCTGTCCGGCGGTGTGCACCCTGTCATCTGGAGCACGTGTGAAGCCGTCCGGCGGCGTGCACCCTGTCATCTGGAACACTCGTGAAGCCGTCCCGCAGTGTGCGCCCGGTTGTCTGCATCCATCAGCTATGTCCTTCAGCGCCACCATTCTCTTCTCGCCTCCCAGTGGCAGTGAGGCCAGATGCTGCTGCTGTGCCTGTAAGAGTGAGACTAGCCAGGGCAGCTCGGGGTCTCAGGGTGGGAATCCTCCTGCCGGCACCCCTATCACAGTGACAGGGCACGGCCTGGCGGTGCAGAACTCTGAGCAGCTCCTGCATATCATCTACCAGCGGGTGGACAAGGCGGTGGGTCTGGCTGAGGCAGCCCTGGGTCTTGCTCGGGCCAACAACGAGCTGTTAAAACAGCTCCAGGAAGAAGTGGGCGCGCTGCGGCAGGGGAAAGTGTGCACCGCCGATGAAGATGGGGAGAGCCGGGCCCGCAGCCCCCCGCCCGAAGAGCCTGGCCTGCTCAAGGGGAGTCCGGGAGAAGCCTGCAAGACACTGTCTGCCGTGGAGGAGGAGTGTGACAGCGTGGGCAGTGGCGTGCAGGTGGTGATCGAGGAGCTGCGGCAGCTGGGGGCCGCCTCCACCGTGGGGCAGGGGCCCTTGGGCTTCTTCGCAGCCCCCCAGAGAGATCTGCGGCTCCCCGGATGTGCTCTGGCTGCGGTGGAGGGAGCCCCTCTGCTCAACCCCGTAAGTAACTCCCGGGGTGGCTGATCTGCGCACGCTGCTGGGGATGCTGAATCAATCACATGCCTTCCTCTCTTCCATTCTTTAAACCATTCTTTTGCTTGTGCCTGTGATGAAACGGAAGAGCACCCACCAAGTTTCCTCCACTCTCAGGGATAGCCAGCACTCCTGTTTCCGCCCCGGTCCCGTTTTTGGCAGGAGGTCGTTTTTTTGGTACACGCCGTGACGTTGGTGCCTCCCACCTTCTCGACAGCTCCGACATGGCATCTTTTCCACAGCTGTCTCGGCTGCTTCACTGGCTCTGCCTTTCCTGGCGAGAATGCCTGCCATGCACAGACGGCTCATTCATATTTTATCACGGCCTTCAGCTTGCCAAGAAGGGCTTCGGTGCAGAGATGGAAGTGTGGCGGGGACGAGGGGGGAAGGTGGAGGCAGGGGAGTGGAAGGATAAGGACACTAGAAGGCAGGTGAAGGGGAAAAAAGAAGTGGAAAGGAGGGGTTTGAAGAAGGAGGAAAAAGTGAGGAAGGAGCATAACAGAGAGATAGATCTGGGGCTGGAGAGATGGCTCAGCAGTTAAGAGCACTGGCTTCTCTTCCAAAGGTCCTGAGTTCAATTCTCGACAACCACGTGATGGCTCACAACCGTCTGTAATGAGATCTGATGCCCTCTTCTGGCCTGCAGGCATACATTGCAGGCATACATGCAGGCAGAGCACTTGTACCTGAAAAATATGCACTCGTACCTAAAAATACATATATAAATACAATTTAAAAAAGAAAAGAAGGGGTTGGGGATTTAGCTCAGTGGTAGAGCGCTTGCTAGGCCCTGGGTTCGGTCCTCAGCTCTCGGGGGGAGGGGGGGGAGAAAAGAAAAGAAAAAGGTAGATCTGAGCCTGGCAGTGGTGGTATGGTAGCCATGCCTTTAATCCCAGCACTCTGTGAGTTCAAGGCCAGCCTGGACTATAAAGTGAGTCCCAGGACAGCCAGAGCTACACAGAGAAACCCTGTCTCAAAAAAAAAAAAAAAAAAAAAAAAAAGGGCTGGAGAGATGGCTCAGAGGTTAAGAGCACTGACTGCTCTTCCAGAGGTCCTGAGTTCAATTCCCAGCACCCACATGGTGGCTCACAACCATCTGTAATGAGATCTGGTGCCCTCTTCTGTGTACATAATAAATAAATAAATCTTAAAAAAAAAAAAAAAACCCGCACAGAAGACAGGGTTTATCTACCTTTAAAAAAAAAGTTATGATGATTGACAGGCTCTCACTCTAGCCCCAGCTGGCCTAGAACTCACTCTGTAGTCCCTGGCTATTCTCCAGTTTGCAGCAATTCTTCCACCTCATCCTCCCGAGTGCTGGCCTTACAGGCGTAAACCACCATACTGGGTTTCAAGAGAATTTAACTAGGGAAAGGCCAAATGAAAGGTAGGCAGAATACTGGGCATGGTGGCACATAGCTCTAATTGCTTTTCAATATTTATTTTTTTAATTTTTAATTATGTATGAATGGGGGGGCATGTGCACTTGAGTGCAGGTGCAGAGGGAGACCAGAAGAGGGAGTCATCTCCTGGAGTAGGGTTACAGACTATCACTAGCCACTCGGTGTGGGTGTTGAGAAGGAAACTCTGGAAGAACAGTGCACTCTCTTAACCTCTAACCCACTTCCCTAGCCCCCTTTAATCCCCCCCCTTTTTTTTTTTTTTGGTTTTTCAAGACAGGGTTTCTCTGTTGTAGCGCTGGCTGTCCTGGAACTCGCTCTGTAGACCAGGCTGGCCTGGAACTCACAGAGATCCACCTGCCTCTGCCTCCCGAGTGCTGGGATTAAAGACGTGCACCACCACCACCTAATTGCTTGCTTTTAATACCAGCACCCAGGAGGCAGAGGCAGGTGAATCTCTGTGAGCCGAGGGCCATCAGGGTGTACATGGTGAGTTCCCGGTCAACCAGGACCATGAGACCCTGTATGAATAGGAACATTAGGAACATAGAAGGTGTGACAGTGACAGGAGGCTGGCCATGACTCATAGTGGCCAGCCTGGGCTTCATCGTGAGTTCCAGGCCTGCCTGAACTAAATATAGAGATCCTGTCCCCAAAAAAGAAAAGCAAATCAAGAATTAGCCGAGGAGAGATTGGAGAGATGGCTCAGTGGTTAAGAGTGCATACTGAAGCCGGGCGGTGGTGGTGGCGGCGGCTTTCATCCCAGCACTTGGGAGGCAGAGGCAGGTGGATCTCCGTGAGTTCAAGGCCAGCCTGGGATACAAAGTGAGTTCAAGGACAGGCTCCAAAGCTACGCAGAGAAACCTTGTCTCAAAAAAGCACCCCCCCCCAAAAAAAAAAGAGTAAAAACGAGTGTATACCTCTCTTCCAAAGGACCTGAGTTCAGTTCCCAGCATCCTTGTCAGGCGGCTCACAACAGCTGGATCCAAGGGGATCCGATGCCTCTGGCCTCCTGGGACCTGCATTTACATGTTCACACACAGACATACACACATACACATAATTAAAAATAATAAAAATATGTCTTCTGAGAAGGTGGAGAGCACATTCTGGGCAGAAAAAGACACAGAAATACACAGTGCTGTTTCAGTGTTTCCATGGTCCAGGGCCTTGTGAAGGAGAACGGCCTGGCAAAATAGAAGAAGAACTGAAGAAAGGCACTCAAGGTAGAGAACCGGAGGATGGCAGAGATCACAGAGACAGGGAGTAACAGATGCTCCACACTCAACAGCCGGAGGGGTGTCTTCCGCTCTCCCCGACCCTCTGTCTGCCCACTCTCCTCCCTTTCGCCCCCAGCAAGGTAACAGTACCCAGTGAAGAGTAAAGACCCGAACACAGGGTGAAAGAGAGGTCGGGAACTCCCAGCCCATCTGCTGGATACGAGGAATGAGCATCTCAACCTCTCCCCCAGACGCCGGCCTCTCATAGCAATTGGCTGTTGCTCTCCTAAAGGCTTAGCTTTGTAGTCGTGGTCACTGTTTCCACTCTCTCTGCCCGGCTTGGGCCTGAGAGACAGGAAACAGGAGGACCCCCAGGCCAGGTGGTGCTCTCCACTGGGGGTTCTTTAGGCAGGGAAGGCTTCCAGGCTGACAGGATGGAATTAGCTTTTAGATGTCACAGCCGGGGAGGGAAGCAGCTCCCGGGCCTGTAAATCTCAGCTGCCTCCTCCGCCTCTTTCTGTATGTGTGTGGTTCCCCCCACTTTCACTGTTTTGTTTTCTTGGCTGTAAAAATCCCCACTCTCTTCCCTCGGCTGTCTGCTCCGCTCCCTCCCCCTCGCCCTGTGTGTCCTTGACTGCACCCGCAGTCAGCTGGATGCTCAGGCTGAGACTGTGGGATGTGGCTTGGCCCAGACTGTCCCCTCCAAGGGACTAGAGGGTAGGTGAGGAGTCTGTTGTGTTTGGGACATCCTCTCTAGGGGTCTCTGCTTAGCTCTCCCCTTTTCTCTCCTTTGCCTTTTTTATTGTTGGTACTGTTCAGTTTTCTTGTTTCTGCCCCGCTCCATTCCCCTTCTTGTTATCACTTTCTCTCCTGGTGCCTTGCAGACAGAGCTCTTAGCTAGATACCTTTCTTGTGTTGTTTTGTTTTCTGAGACAGGGTTTCTCTGTGTAGCTAGCCCTGGCTCTTCTGGAACTGCTCTCTAGACCAGGGTAGCCATGCACTCAGAGATCCACCTGTCTCTGCCTCCCGAGTGCTGGGATTAAAGGCGTGCACCACCATCACCCCGAGATACATTTCTTATACTCAAGAATATGCCGTAAGTAACTGTTCACATAGACGGTCCAAGCATGCCTTGTTTGTGTAAGACTTTTTGGCATAAGCAACCCAACATTATAGGTCCTGTTTACATAAGAAGAATCTGCCCGGAGCTGGAGAGATGGTTCAGTAGCTAAGAGCACTGGCTACTCTACCAGAGGACCCAGGTTCGATTCCTTAGCATCCTCATGGCGACTCACAACCATCTGTAACTCCAGTTCCAGGAAATCCAACACCCTCTTCTGGCCTCCACAGGCACTGGATGCATGTGGTGCATAGACTTACATGCAGGAAAAACACCCATGCACATGGGGGTGGGGGAGAGAACAAGTTGCCAATTTGTCTGATGTTCTCATAGACGCCCAGAGAAATAAGTCATTGCCATGAAAGGCTGCTGACCTGGCCTCTTCTACTTTGTTCACTCTCCTTGGCCAAGACTGGTGGTTAATCAGGCCGGCCTCTGCCTGGCTGGTAAAAGACTCTTCTTCTTCTGTTCTTAGATGGCGGATGATTATGTGGCTTCTGAGGGTACAATCCAACGAGTGCTGGTCCCTGCCTATGCCAAACAGCTTTCACCAGCCACACAGCTGGCTATCCAGAGGGCATCCTCAGAAACAGGACCAGAAAATGGCACCAAGCTACCAGCAGCCCACCCCGAGGACATGCTTGGTTCGGCGGCACTGGACAGTGCCTTGGAAGAGTCGGGCCCTGGTGGCACTGGGGAGTTGAGCCGTTCCATGGGATTTATGGGCTCCCCATGCAGAATCCGAGCAACCGGGCAGAAAAACTCCAGGCGCAAGCGAGATCTGGTGCTCTCCGTAAGTGAGCTCGGTGTCAATCATTTCTTCTTCAGTTTGAAAGAGTGGGTTGATTTTAAGCCTCCCAGTAGAATAGTGTCCCGAATCCTACTGGAATGGGAAGGATAAGGAGTGACATTATTCCATAACTATGGGCAGAGCCTTTTCCATCGCCTCATCTTTTAGGCTTGTCTAGATAGAATGGCGCCTTCCCTTTAAAGAGAGGAGAATTCTATCTCTCAGTGTTCTCATAATCCTGATGGGAAGATCTTTAAGGATTGAGCAGACTGACCACCGAAGGGTCATGTTTTAGCCAATGTGCTGGGTAAGTAGCAAGGGACATCTTGTGTGGGAAAGCTGTTGTCCTGAAAAAGGGCCAAGCCCCACAGAGGTGCTGAGCCTAGTTGGTCTGCCCAGTCCTAGAGCTCTGGAGAATCTCCTCATTCTGAGAGTTCTTGGCAGGCAGAAAGGGACTGGCTAGGAAGACTGCCTAATGTTTTATTGGAGAGGATGAGAGCCCCAGGGTGACTCTGCTGAGCTGAGAGTCCCCCGTGGTGGGGCAGCCAAAGGAACCTGAGGAACTTGTGGAACCGTGGTTCTCAGCCCGGGAGCAGCTGCCCTCCAGGGACATGTGTAACGACTATCGACTTTTCAGACCCTTATCGCTGGTGGGTAGGTAGAGGGAGAATGCTTATATCCAACAGGTAGAGGCCAGGGAGGCTACTGAGTGTCCCACAGTATACATTCCAGCTCAACATGTCAACAGCGCAGATGTTGAGAGATTTTTTTCTGGAGGAGCACAGTCTCTTGGATCAACTGTGAGCTCAAGAGCTTTGTGGGTTTTGGGGGGCTTTGTTTTGTTTGTTTGAAACAGGGTCTCGTGAAACTCAGAGTGGCCTCAAAGTCACTGCATAGCTGAGGCTGACCTTGAACTCCTCCTGCTTTTACCTCACAAGTGCTGACTGGAATTTTAAACATACACATCACTATACTATACCCAGCATACTCCGAATTTATTTACTTACTTATTTAGAAGCAGTTGGAATTTATTAAATGTTATTAATGAGAAGTAGGGGCTCATTATATTAGCCCTAGTTGACCTGTAACTTGCTGTGTAGACCAGAGTGGCCTCAAACTCATAGCGATCCGCCTGTCTTTTTGCCTCCTGAGTGCTGGGATGGAAGGCATGCACCACCACTGCTGGATTTTGTTTATTTTTTGACACAGGGTTTCTTTGTGTAGCCTTAGCTGTCCTAGAACTAGACCAGACTGGCCTTGAAACTGGATCTTAATATAGGTTTTTTTTTTTTTTTTT